ATGGGTATACCCATCGCTATCTGTAACAAGTTGCCGCAGAGCGGAACAGCGCTCATCTAACGTCTACTGCGGTGACTCTGTGGTGGAGTGGTGGGATTCTAGTAAACCCTGTTAGTCCCAAATGTGTTCACATAACACGCCGCGAAACAAGTGGAATACACAGGGATGGTATCAGGAACCTTCTCAAAGAAATGTTCGTTGGGATTCGTTATGAAGTTGCCACGAGATGGCGCGTACGTTTAAGTGTCTTCAGATTAAAGATGGAAGCTCCCATCAGTACGTAGTAGCAACAACTATCTGAAGACAGAATAGGTAAGCCACTCATCCATGTTACCTACGCAAGCCTACAGGCTGCAATAGAGAGCTTGCCACATGAAACAATTAACCAGGGCCAAAAACTCCACAGTACCACCAACACATGCACTGGCAGTAGCCACTGGCAGTGCATACGTTACATGTTAAGCATACTGACAGTACAGAATGCCATATAAATTATACGATTTAAGGAGGCATAAACCTTCCTTTAACCAAATTTAGCTTTTGAAATTTCAGCTGTGACATTGTAGCCTCATACATTCAGGCATGTATAGATTCTACTAGCAAACCCAGCAGTCAAATTCTTTCTAACAGACAGTCAACAAAATCCATGTTTAACCCTCCTCTTGAGGGCGTCAAAAGGTTATCCTGACACTTACTCTTCGCATGTCAGCAGAAAGTAGATTTCATGGTCCTTTTCAAATAATGCCATAAAAATGGTAGGTCACCGCTGAAACAAAAAAGTTTTTCAATCGCTCCGTCAGACCATGTCCTCAGAAAATGTCTAAAATCTGCCCTGGTCCCATTGACCTTTGACCTGTGACCTCCAATTTCAGCACAGGTGATGGCTTTTCCTACCATGATGCTATACACCGACTATCACGACCCTAGGTCGAGCCGTTTAGATTTGTGCCGCAATTCTGCAATTTCCTCCTATACCTTAAGTTAAGGAGTGAATGCTTCCCCTTCTTTTACACCTCTTGACCTTTGACCTTTGACCCCAGCTTCGACACCCAACTCGTTTCGATTAACTTACCCCCCCACGTCCCGAATATCGTGACTGTACGTCGAGCGGTTAAGATTTGTGCCCAACTGTTGACGGACGCACGGACGAACGGACGGACGCACGGACGGACGCACGGACGGACGCACGGACGGACGCACGGACGGACGATCATGCGATTCTACAAGCTGCATCTGACTATGTCAGATGAGCTAACAATGACCCTCGGCATGTCAATACAACATATACCTGCTTCGCTCCATCTGCATTTGTCTGCACGGACGCAATGTTTGGATTCATCAACACCGTATTCAGATTTTCCTCCTGAAAGTAGATATATGATAGTCAAATAGTGGTTACAGGGGGAAGATTCCAAAGGTTGTGTTATCACAGCATGTGTGGCAGTTACACGCTATACTACCCACATTGTGTGGCTAATATTGCCTTGAAGCACCCAAGATAACTATAGCAACACAATAAAAAACTTTTAGGTCAAGTCTAGAAAACCATATATAGATAGCTGACTAACCTACTGCCGTTTTTAATATATGATGCAGAAGTAATAACGAATTACACTAATATAAAAAATATTAAAAGCAAAGAATCATAATATCTATCTATCACAATCACTCACCTTCAATGCTTTAATAGCTTGAGAGCCACTATAGTCAAACTCCCCAGCCTGCCCTATAGATAGCCCACCACTACCGAGCACTAGCACCTTAGATGCCTGAAGACAAAAAGCACTGGTTTACAACTACAAACTCATATCCTATAAGTTTTTAGAAGTTTGTTTCCATTTCTTTTAAACCAACATGTGCATTTATTAACTTGCTTTTTCTCGAATCAACTTATTCAAGCATTGTCGATAAATACCTGTGTATATATATTCACGTACAGCTAAATCCAAAGCTCTATCATTTCATGTTACTATTATTTGTTACTGTTGTATGAAGAATTCATCTTAATATTTCCAACATCTACATTACATGGTATTATCAAAACAATGTAATGGAGCCTGTTTCAACCGCCACTTCATTGCCGCTACATCTATTGTGTAATACAAAATGTCTACTACATAACCCATTTAGAATAGAGCGATCAGCAGAGACAAAGTGCTATACGACAGTCCTACTCACCTTGACTCGCTGAGGTTTTGGGGGAAGTGTCTCCACCAGTGATGTGATGCTGCGTACTTTCTTGTTCACCATGGCCATGAACGTGTCGAACAGAAACTGTTCCATTATGGGATAAAACAATCACGCACTTAATCATCATAACAAGCAACAAATATGGTCTGATCGACTGACTGAGTGGGATGAAGAAAGAATATGAATGAAGAATGAGTGCATAAATGATTGCATGTGTGCATGAATGTATATATATATATCTATTATATATAAACAAAATCTTCATCCAAAATTGTCACCCCTTGATTTCCCATCACCCGCTATCACCCTTTTTTCTTTGCCTTTTATTATGTGTAGTGACGTACTGTCAGGCAGATTTTGTACTGCGCAAATTCAGTGAAAATGGATATATATATATATATATATATATATATATATATATATATATATATACATGATATACGTCACAACACTTATAATAAAAGGCAAATTTGGATGTTGCATACACATACTTTGCTTACACAAATTAAAGCAGTCATCAGGCGAAAACAATGCCAGATGTGACTGCTGGTGCCAGCGGACAGCCATTATGCTGCGGAAGCTTGTAAAATGTAGTTGCTTCACCTACTGTGTGTATTTATATTCATTTTTGTTTTTAATGCTTACCTCTGTATCTGTGGGACCACCTTTGTGTTCTGGATGGAACTGTGCTGTAAAGATTGGCCTGTTCTCATGGTATATGCCCTGCAATGGCACATTAATAGTAGTGCATTTCAGTACAATATACTGCACATACATCATGTACATATACTTATTACTAGAGACATAGTCAGGGTTCTCCAAGCTTTTTCATTATACAAGCATGGGGGTGCTGCCTTTACGGTCCTATAGTTGCAAATCGCCGAAAGCAGTTTGCGTGCTAGGGGGGTCTGGGGGCATGCCCACACGGAAAATGTTTGAATTGTAGAAGCACTGAGATGCAATCTGGGACACTCTAAACTCATATCACTTCAAAGTTTATTCCGATATAAACAACGTGTATTAATTGTTTGAACTTCTTGTGTATACACCAGCATGGCAGCTATGATATTTAGAGTAGCGGGTGTATTTTAGGATGGCGGGGCTCGACGATAGCCTGGCGGGCTGCCAGGTTATAAGTGCTCTTGGAAAAGCCTGATAGTGATAGTAAATCACCTAGTAGTAAAACATCTAATAGCATAGTAAAATTTAACCAATGACAAAATTAGAGTAACTGGCATTTAAAAAGTATGCTAGGACTATGTCTAACCTTATATGTCTGTTGTTGGATTGTAGTTTAATTATTATACATTATGATATCAGGGTTTCTTATACATAAGAGGCACAGTGGCGCACCGCCGTTGTGAAAATGTTCCTGTATTTACTGATAAGTATATCCTGTATCTATATACTTAAAGTATATCAATACATCCTGTATTTGAATCCATCATGTGCGTTTTTTTCCCAAACAGCAAGCTGGCCATTACCTCCTTTGTCTAATTTACCCTCAGAAGAAACCCTGTTATATTATATATTTATTATATATAATATTGTTAATTTATAATTTATTATATATAAACTATTACGATAGGACTGTTTTGTCATCTCATACTTTAGTTGTTGAATTGCAGTTTCATTAATATAGGTTTTTATATATTAAATTTATACATCACTGTACTATTAGCTATAGTGTTGATAAATTTGATAATAGTAATGATTTATTATAAGGAATATTGGGATATCCATCATCTTATATAAATAAAAAGTTTGATAAAGCAGCATACGTTACCTCATTAGTGCGATCGTTGGCATTAATAAACAGGGGTTTCCAACCTTCTGTCAAAGTGTTACTGTCAATGGCATAGCCGTGATTCTGTGATGTGATGTAGGCGCCTCCTGTGAGGAGGTTCAACACAGGTTGGTTCTGTCCTCTTAAAAGAAAATAAATGTTTCTCATTAATCAAAAATGCACTTGTGAATATTGCCATCTAGTTATTTATTTAATCTTCAAAGTTCAAAGCACTTTCTGATGTTAAAAACTTTGAATGATAGAAACAGATCCAAATTTTTCTATGCAGATATTGAAAGTGCAAAATATAGGAACAAGGCAGGATTTATGTGAAAGTAACATTGATGTGCCCCCTGCACCCTACATATATGACTTACATATATGATCAGGAATGAACAAAAACAAGTGTGTTTTTACTTCTGATTTGATTTATAACATGATAATATACTTAATTTCATTCACACTTCCTATCACACAGTTTCATTCTTATTAACTCATCCTGTCAAAGCAATTATTGTGTGTCTACCTGATGACTGTTACCACACAAGGTTGGTACGAAGTAGCCAACATAACAGCTTTAACCCAAGACAACATCATGACATTTGAGGCTGGAAATGCCACCACTTCACTTAGAAGCATCATGATTTGTGAGCAGGCATACACTCCACAAGCGATACAGTATCAAAGTATACTCCGTGCCACTCCGTCAAATAACATGTTATGAAACAAAGTAATGAATGCATGCAGCTATACACATATGCAATCACAAAATGGGCACATGCACAGAGGCACGCCCACACAAATGCACATACAAGCACACAAACATGGACAAACGTGCACATATACACAGAGACACAAACCTGCTCCCCAAACACACACACACACACACACACACACACACACACACACACACACACACACACACCTGTTGCCCAGTGTCAGCTTGTAGGCCCTCGCCCCCGATGCCAGCGCCACTAGCTGGTTACCCATGCAGATGCCAAACAGGGGTTCATCACGTTCAGCGAGCACACGACTCAGGTTGTCGATGGCAACGCCAGCGAATGTCGGATTTCCGGGGCCATTAGAGATGAAGAGTCCATCGTACTCCTCCTGCATGACATCGTGGTCCCAAGGCACCAGCTTCACCTCCGCGCCTCGCTGCAGAGACACACATACAGCTGCAGAGCACTAGAGCAAGCTACGAACTGTAATCCACAAATAAGAACCAAACCACTCTTCTTGACCGAACAGTTTCATGTTTAAAGCGATCAACTTATGACTGAAAGAACCAATTACGTTAATAACCCAAGAATTCCCCCACAGTTACATGTTGCAGTAGATAGAAGCTACAAGGTTTGAAATGGGACTTATAACACAAAAGCAGATTTTCAAGGAAATATTCTCAGATTCTTTACCTTCACCAGGCTCCGAATCATGTTGTGTTTGATGCCGCAATCAATCGCTACTATCCTGACAGGGTTTCCTTTTCCGTACCACTTGACTTCCTAAAAACAAGATGCTGCATTATTCACACCAGACTACTCCTATCTAGAACGAACAATTAAGCAAACAGCAAACTGGTAACATTTTATGCAGTAAAAGACGTTTTCTCGTAAAATAAGATTATACCAATGCACGTGTGCTAACAGGTTGACTACTTGGATTAATTTCACTGTACAAGTTTCAGTTGAAACAAATGTAGGACTGGCCAGCCAGAATGTGTCACTTGCTTTTGTTGATATTTCCTCGATGAGATTCCTCTGGTTGGGATCGTCGAACGCAATTTCCTGACCGGCAAACTCTATCTTTCCAAGTACGTTTCCCTGCGTGATGGAAACAAGCACGCGTTAATCATGATAACATATCATTACCTGTTCTATCTCACATACCAACGTCACAATACACCGTTGGATCTACTCTAGCATGCTGCTTCAAGTTAGGCAAAAGAATTCTTGATGTTTCCACATCTTTCTAGCTCACTAGGGATGTGTGAGGATGAAGATACCATAGGAAGATGTAGGAGAAACACAAAAATTTAATCACACTCCACGTTATGCTCGCACAGAAATTACAAATTTCAATAGAATATGTACTTGCTCTTTATTTACTTTAGTAATTATATGTAAGCAAGGCTATAGATGTTACTGCAATACAGATTTTCATGGGGACCGAAGCTTTAGCTCAGCCAACATCCTATAACATTTGGTAACAATTTCAGGAAAAATGGCCCAAATTTATAACCTAGAGAAATTTACCAGGCAAGTCAGAATTTTTAACAAAACTTTATTTAAACAAATGGTTCAAACCCATTCGACTTCAAAACTTATGTTTGTAAGAATATTTAGTCCACTAGCTACCCCTATGTGTTCTTTATTGAACCTAGAAATGTCGAATACTATAAGGTTTTATGTTGGAAATGCAATATACAGGTCATAAGGACTCAGAAACTGCCAGATGCTAATTTGCACATGTGTAGCATTTTGCATAATCGGCCTAATTAGCATATTAATTAGGTCAACTCACTAAATCAAGAATATCTTCCCTAGTAATCCACATAGAGACTTCATTCGTGTGTCTAGACCCATGTTTTCGACACTAAGCAATTGATCTGGCATGGATTCAAACCCCTACCATCCTTCCGACTGCCAGCAATCCAATATGGCTGCCATGCATAATGAGGTAAACTGTAAAATCACCATAACTGAGCAACTGTTGGAAGGTAGAGACTTTGTTTTGATGTTTAGACCCATGTTCTTAACACCAAGAATTCCATCGTCTATAGGACTTATATATTTAACATTAAGTTATGAATATATATGAAAATGTTACATATTATGATGCAGCTAGATCATGGAATACATAGATGAACACCCAATACCATCAAACTACTTACTATTCGCCTTCGTCTTTATGGTTATGATCATTCTCTCCAATCTCTAGATCCTCTTCTCCTTCCTTCTGCTCTTCATATCCTTCGTCAGCCTCATGTCGTTGTGTCAGTGAGTTACAACACTCATTTCCTCCTTCACACACACAGTAGCTGGTACATGACAATCCATTTGCTGCACAACCACACTTCCTGCTGCAGGCATTCCCCTCTGCTCGGCAGCTGCAGCTAATGACGTACATGAGGTTTTTTGTTGCGGTAGGTTCTTTTGACTGCACTGGTACCACTTCATCATTTACAGTAACTTCGATCCCATCCATAGTTAGTGATTTGGACAGCAGGAGGGTCAGCCTTGTCCGCAGCCTTCCATAGCATCATTTGGAGATGTGCTCTCCGGATATGGAATCCCAGGTTGATGTCTGTTGGTGGAAGGGACTTCACGGATGGAGGATTCTTTCGCTTGCGATAAATCTCGTACCTGGAAGCATTCATTGACGTGCTTTTCTTCTGGCCATATAAATGTAGGAAGAAGGCTTTGCCAGTTGCCATCAGGTCACTGTCAGTGACATCGTCCTCTCCAAGAATTGAGTCTAGTCCAGCAATATCGGTCTGGTTGAGCACTTTCAGGGCGGACACTTTCCCTTTCCCATTGGATAAGACACAGTGTCACAGCCTGAGAGTGCGTGCATTCCCAATATTCCCTTGCATTTCTCCCCGAGCTTGGTGACAGTAGCATTGATGTCAAGCACGGATCCATCCCACTTCTCCATCTGAATATGGCATGATACGCCATTCTTCCAGCACGAGTACACGAGCAGCACGAATACATCTGTGTCATCACTAAGGATGCGCACAGTCCGAGCTCTGGCTGATGCAGCACGAAGCATGTAGCTGATGAGAGATATGTCTGCTTCATCATGGATGCACAATACTGAGGTTTTTTGCCCTTTAAACTTTTTTGTTTGCGATATTAGGTAGGCAACATGTGTAAGCAGTCACGCAACAGTATTGTGCATACATGATGAGCAGACATATCTCTCATCAGCTACATGCTTCGTGCTGCATCGGCCGGAGCTCGGACTGTGCGCATCCTTAGTGATGACACAGATGTATTCGTGCTGCTCGTGTACTCGTGCTGGAAGGATGGCGTATCATGCCATGTTCAGATGGAGAAGTGGGTTGGATCCGTGCTTGACATCAATGCCACTGTCACCAAGCTCGGGGAGAAATGCAAGGGAATATTGAATGCACGCACTCTCAGGCTGTGACACTGTGTCCTATCCTAATGGGAAAGGGAAAGTGTCCGCCCTGAAAGTGCTCACCAGACCGATATTGCTGGAATAGACTCAGTTCTTGGAGAGGACGATGCCACGGACAGTGACCTGATGGCAACTGGCAAAGCCTTCTTCCTACATTTATATGGCCAGAAAAAAAGCACGTCAATGAATGCTTCCAGACCTGTACGAGATTTATCGCAAGCAAAAGAATCCTCCATCCGTGAAGTCCCTTCCACCAACAGATATCAACCTGGGACTCCATATCCGGAGAGCACATCTCCAAATGATGCTATGGAAGGCTGTGGACAAGGCTGACCCTCCTGCTGTCCAAATCACTAACTATGGATAAAAAGTTACTGTAAATGATGAAGTGGTACCAGTGCTGTCATAAGAACCTATGCACCTAAAAACCTCATGGACGTCATTAGCTGCAGCTGCCGAGCAGAGGGGAATGCCTGCAGCAGGAAGTGTGGTTGTGCAGCAAATGAATTGTCATGTACCAGCTACTGTGTGTGTGAAGGAGGAAATGAGTGTTGTAACTCACTGACACAACGACATGATGCTGAAGAAGGATATGAAGAGCAGAAGGAAGGATAAGAGGATCTATGGATTGGAGAGAATGATCACAACCATGAAGATGAAGGCGAATAGTAAGTAGTTTGATGGTATTGGGTGTTCATCTATGTATTCCATGATCTAGCTGCATCATAATATTTAACATGTTCATATATAATAATAACTTACTGTTAAATATATAAGTCATATAGACGATGGAATCCTTGGTGTTAAGAACATGGGCCTAAACATCAAAACAAAGTCTCTATCTTCCAACAGTTGCAATTAGTTATGGTGATTTTACGGTTTATATACCTCATTATGCATGGCAGCCATATTTGATTTCTGGCAGTCGAAAGGATGGTAGGGGTTTGAATCCATGCCAGATCAATTGCTTAGTGTCGAAAACATGGATCTAGACACACGAATGAAGTCTATGTGGATTACTAAGGAAAATATTCTTGATTTAGTGATTTGACCTAATTAATATGCTAATTAGGCCGATTATGCAAAACGCTACACATATGCAAATTAGCATCCGGCAGTTTGTGAGTCCTTATGACCTGTATATATTGCATTTCCAACATAAAACCTTATAGTACTCGACATTTCTAGGTTCACTAGGCTGGCTAGTACACTAATTTGGCTGTAGATAATCAGTAAATATTGAAGTGAAGGTCTCTACGTTCTGGACTATTTTCCAGGGCATGCAAGACATCAGCGCTGTGAACCAGATGCGGTTGCAATGCTCAACCTGCTTCGGAACATAGCCTGGTCATCGCCATGGCAATTTGTCACCTTGTTGCGTATGTGCTTGGTCAGCATGCGTGTGTCGATGCCGTACAGACCCGGAACCTTCTCCTCCTGTAGCCATTGTGACAACGACTTTGTCGAGTTCCAGTGGTGATAGTCATGCGAATAATCCTGCACTATGAGGCCAGATACCTACCATATATCAATACAATGTACGTTATAAGATAAAAATACAATTAATTCAGTTGCTAAATTATATTTTTGTTGAATCATTTTTTTTAATTGTATTGGAATTCAAAAACTACGACTAAAAATTAAATGTGAGAACGTGGTAAATGGCCTCAGAATGTGTGAAATGTCACACGTCAGTTATGTTATATAGTACTGCTCATCTCCTGCGTCAGGAAAAATGTCACATCCGTCAAACCAGCATTATGTTTTATGGTTTGATATGGTCGAAGGAAGGCATGAGCCAAGATCCCAAGAAATGCGATGAAATACAGAGGCGCCCCGCTCCAGAAAATGTCAAGGATTTGCAAGGTTTCCTTGGAGTTGTGCAGCACTTAGCACCGTTCGTTCCTCACCTATTCGAGAAGACTCATGTGTTGCGGCAGCTCCTCAAGAAAACGTCCGATTGGGTTGGGGACGCAGAGCAGCAAGCGGCATTCGTCACCCTAAAAGACGCGGTGCACGAAGACCTGAAGCTGAGGTTTTTCGACCCACAAATGCCTGTGGAGGTCGAAGTACACGCTTCTTCCGTCGGACTAGGAGCCGCGCTGATACAAGACAAGAAGCCCATAGCGTTTGCCTCGAAAGCTCTGGTGCCGGCGGAAACGCGATATGCAAACATAGAAATGCAATTCGCGACGAAATGATTACATTCCAGTTCATCAAGGGAATACTGTGGCCAGATGAGCGCAAAACCCTTATCGCCAAGGGTAACGACTTGAAGTTGGAGGATGCCGTCAAGTCTGCGCAGCACTACCAAGCGACGATGCACTCCTCCTCCTTCAGCGCAGGTGTTGAAGTGGACGCCATTCAACGCCCATCACGACGCCACGATAAATGCAGATACTGTGGGACCAAGCACGCGCCAAAAAAATGCCCAGCGTATGGGAAACAGTGCAGCAAATGTGGAAAGGTGAACCACTTTGCAGTCGTTTGTATGCAAAAGGATGGGAAACACCACAAGACGTCCGCCACGAAGCAGCAGGGAAATCCGTTGCGACAACCCTGCTCGAGCAGCAGAGGCCGGAATGTTGACGCGATCAACTCCTACCAAGGCGCGATGTCACTCGACTGTGGCGAAGTAATCATAATTGAAGACATCGACGCAAACGAGAGACAGTCGATTATGGCGAAGCTGAATGTGAGGCCACCTGGTGTCCGAAGGAAAGTCACCCTCACGGTGAAAGCGGACACAGGTGCAAATGAGAACATTCTTCCATTGCGATTGCTAAAGCAGATGTTTGACGACAGTAAATCCGTTTTAAGAAGCAGCAAAGTGAGGCTCACTGCCGCGAACGGTACGGGCATTACACAGATGGGAGTTATTGACATTCCGATACAGTTTGAAAACTCTAAATGGCACGATTCGAGGTACTATGTGTGCGACACAGAGGGCCCTGCAATTCTCTCATGTGGGGCCACCGAGAAGTTAGGCATCGTTCAGGTTGTGGAAAGCAACAACGTTTCTGCGACCAATTGTGAAAGCCCGCCGACTTCCTCCCACGACCCTGTCCATACTAAACCCGCACCAACCCCTCCCATCCCAGACCGCGATACGCTCCAGCAGTTGTATCCAAAGTGCTTCAAGGGTATTGGCCGCATGCCAGGCGAGTACCACATTGAATTGAAAGACGACGCTGTGCCTATCGTCGCCCCTCCACGCAGATATCTCTCTCTTTGATTACTCACACATCGAACAGTGTAACAAGTTATATATCTAGATTCCTGTAAGGGATGAATATGCCCCCTGAATCACCACCCTCCAGTGACTCTCTGAGATCCTGCTTGCTTTTCACTTGCCTGAGTACATTTGCTAGTAAAGACTGAACTGCTGAACTAATGCATTATATGATACAAAGTGATAAAAAACTCAACTGTAGATGTTTTACAATTGCTCCAAACTGACCTATCTGCCTGTCTGGAGTGACTGGCAGGTAGTTTTAGCCAATCAATGTTGCAAGAGGGGCATTCTTAAAATACTGCTTTAATAGTAACAAAACACGATAACGATCAAAGTCAACGAATTAGTGTGCATGCACAAAGAACTAAACAAAGAATTAAATAAAAGTTTCTTGAATTTCTTTCAGCATTTTATATTTTAAAAAGGAAAAGATTGGCCATTCTATCAGCAATCAGTGTCTAAGGACTATTTAAAATTAGCATTGGCATATTGAAGCAATTTTCTAATACAGAGATGGTTCTTCAGTAGAGCAAGAATAATTGGGGCCATTGTAGCACTTCACGTTTGTCTGTGCTTATAATCCTAAGCTAGAGGCCAGTTTTTATGCCAGCTATAGCAGGGTGCTACAAATTTTTTTGTGAAAAAATCCTCGTTCACAGGCTGCAGTAGAGGGGCAAACATTTGATGTAGCTGATCACGTAACGACAATGCCTGGCCTGGGGGCCGGGTTTATGCCAGCTATGCATGTTGCTGTGTGCATGTTGCATACAAAGTATAACTGTATGCACTGATTGTTCTCTCCAAACTGACCTATCTGCCTGTCTGGAGTGACTGGCAGGTAGTTTTAGCCAATCAATGTTGCAAGAGGGGCATTCTTAAAATACTGCTTTAATAGTAACAAAACATGACAACGATCAAAGTCAACGAATTAGTGTGCATGCACAAAGAACTAAACAAAGAATTAAATAAAAGTTTCTTGAATTTCTTTCAGCATTTTATATTTTAAAAAGGAAAAGATTGGCCATTCTATCAGCAATCAGTGTCTAAGGACTATTTAAAATTAGCATTGGCATATTGAAGCAATTTTCTAATACAGAGATGGTTCTTCAGTAGAGCAAGAATAATTGGGGCCATTGTAGCACTTCACGTTTATCTGTGTTTATAATCCTAAGCTAGAGGCCAGTTTTTATGCCAGCTATAGCAGGGTGCTACAAATTTTTTTTTGAAAATCCTCGTTCACGGGCTGCAGTAGAGGGGCAAACATTTGATGTAGCTGATCACGTAACGACAATGCCTGGCCTGGGGGCCGGGTTTATGCCAGCTATGCATGTTGCTGTGTGCATGTTGCATACAAAGTATAACTGTATGCACTGATTGTTCCATTCGCATTGTGTTTTTTTCATTGAAATCTCGTCGCAACAACGCAGCTTCTGTGCAAAACAATGCAAGGGACGGGTGGAAACAGAAACATATAGCCTCTTCTACATGACGAAATTTAACTCGAGTTAAGCGTTAACTAGAGTTAAGGGCCGGACACACTAGGCGATTAAATCGGGCGATTAAATCGGGCGACTAAATCGCCGTGAAATCGCCTAGTGTGTCCACTGAATCGCCGCCGATTTAGTTGCGGGTGAACGTGCACACGCACGCAGGCACGTACGCATGCACGTGTACGTCACACGCACGCACGCACGCACGCCTGTGTATGTGCACACGCACGCACACACTCATGCACGCACGAACGTGTACCTGCACACACACGCACGCATGCACGCACGTGTACGTGAACACGCACGCACTCACACACGCCCGCAGGCACGCATTAAGACCCGAGTTAAGGCCCCGTATAGACGCTTAACTCCAGTTAAATTTCGTTGTGTAGACAAGGCTTATCATTAGTATACAGTAACCACTGTCTAGACATTCAATAAAAAAACTTGCTTGCCAGAACGGGCAAGTGCAATTTCAAGCTACTTGCCCAAGGGCAAATTTTGGTTGCCCCGGCCCATCGGGCAAGCGGGTGTCACGCCCTGCAGCTAGGCAACCAATCACGTGAAGGTGTGAACCAACCATGCAGCCTGCCAAAAAATACAGCTAGCGAGCCAGCCAGCAAGCTTGGTCCCAATTAAATGATGACACTGTATGTATGTCTCGTGGCCTAAATATCACCATCTTGATGTGCCCTGGTTTCGTATATGAATGGCTGGGTACACGTACATGTATTCTGTCAGACTCAACATTCTCCCTAAGCCCCATCTCGTCCTGAAGAAAGGTGTCCGGCACACCATAGTTACCAACGATCGGATAGGTGAGGGTGAGGATCTGACCACGGTAACTAGGGTCAGTGATAGCCTCTGGGTATCTGAAAGATCAAAAAAAAAATTTGCTTCCCACTGCAACAACCTTAAAACTTAACAGTTTAATAAAAGGAAGGTATCTATAGTTATTACATCCATATATCATATCTATGGAAACTTCACTACAGCAGGAATATCATGACAAATGTTGGCGGTGTCACACTACATATTTATAACATGATTATTTCTGTGTTTATTGATTCTGTAATACATGACAGCATACCCTGAGCATTGACATGTACACCTGCACACATTTGATCCTCAGATACAACGTGTTTAATTGCATTTCTGTGAGGTGTGACTTCACATTAACGTACTAATTTACACACCTCTAGGCAACACTACGGCCAATCCAGGGTCATACAGTGTATGAACCAATCTTCTATATATGCTACACAGCTATATATATGCTTCAATTTACAGAACTTTATACACTGGTAGATATAATATAATATACCACCCACACAGAGATGAATTATAATAATATGCTGATATAGATGGGTATCCTTTGATATATTTTATATAAAAACCTACACACTAATAGATAAACAACTATAATACCCACTAATAGCTAAACAACTATAAAAACCTACACACTAATAGATAAACACAAATTTAATCTAGATATGGTTGAGGTACAGGACTATAGCTGCAATAGATATATATGTTATAATTAATTATATATAATTTACTTATCATTATTACTTTTTATATTATATAATTATTTTATATTTTATAAATTCTACCTTTGCACACTAATCTACCGGCAAATTACATATATGAAGCTATGTATAAAGTCATGGAGTTTACACACATTGGCGCATGAGACATATAATTGCACGATATATAACTGCGAGACAGTTACCCAACCAGACCATGTTTGAAAACAAGCTCTCCTGCTGAACTTCCATTATATCAAATGAATAACCTTTATACCGGTTCCATCTTCTAAAACAAGCCATGCTGTCTGTGCTGTTAAAAATACAAAAATAGATAATGGAGTCTAATATCCGTTTAAGCGTGTGCAATATATTTTCTATGGAGACACAATGCTGTCTATGGTAATTGATAGGATTAAAGTCATGTAAGCTAGGTAATTTATATAATACACAAGTGCACGAATATTTAATGTATTATTAGCACTGAAATTCAACTAACAATAACGTCACTGGAGTGGAGATGAGAAGATTTAGGACTGAATTGGCCATGCTGCACAAGATTCCAGATGCTGGGACAATTAGAACCACTGCCATCTCCCTCTGCTACTCTTCAGCTAAATATGCATGCCCTGTCTGGAGTAGGTTGCCCCATGCTACAAAAATTGACCCAGTTTTTAACACTGCCTGCAGATGAAGCCACTTCTAGATGTTTGAGACCAACCACAGTTGATGACCTCTACTTGCTCTATCGCATTGCTCATCCACACTTTAGACCCCTGGTTCCCTGGTACCCCGGGCGCGGTAACTAGTACCCTTGGGCGGTACCATCCGCGAACCACCACAGCGGGGTACGGTGGAAGCCTCTTAAGACAATTCTAAAAAAGTAGTGCTATATAATAATCAGCGGGCGATTCAGGCATCTTCTATCGACCAGCGCCGGGGGCAACAAATCATGGTTTTTGTCGAGGCAAGCAAGCGACTCCAAGTGGTTACCCTCGCGTAGCCCAGCCGCCAGCCAGCAGCAGACAGCAGCAGCGAGGCCCACGGCAGAAAGCACGGGCGCAGGGAGGAGGGGGGAGGACCCTAAAATGTGCCAGTGCAGCAGCAGCAGTCGAGCCCACGCAGGCAGGGGTAGATTCATCAAGCTGCGTACCGCAAATATTTTGCGTAGAATCTTGTTACGCAATCGACGTTGTCGTGTGCGTCGTTAGTTGCGATCATCAACACAGTATTTATCTTAATTAGCGTACCGATTTCGCTGTACGCAAGCGATGGTCGGCCGTTTTAGCCCGTGCGCATTCATCAAGCTAAAAGTTTACGCTAAACCTTTTGCGTAACTTTACACGAGCTGACGAAAGCGGTGCCGCTAAACCATCTAAAATTTCCGCAGCGGTGCTTCTCCAGCATACCGCAGCTACATTATTTTATTGAGAAAACATTATAAAATTACTACTCAGCTAAAATAAATTAAAATAATTACCATACTAACCAAAACCGGCGGCGCCTTTCACGCTTCTTTGTCATAGCTTGGCGATTGTTTTCGATTATAAGCCGAATTTCGTTAGTTAACTAGTACGTGTACACGCACCGAACGCACACGGGTGCCACAAGCACGCACGCAGTGTCGTGTAACGCACGCACGAACGCACACGTGCACAAGCACGCGACGCCCGTGTAGTACACCAGCGCACGCCACGGCACGCCACGCCAGCACGCTGTAACGTGCCCCACACGCACGTACGTGTACTGTGCCACATCGCACGACTGACGCACATGTACGTGCCACACGCACGCACGTGTACGGTACACAACGCACGCACGCACGCAAGCACGCCACGCACGTGTACCATACCACACGCGCGCCACGCACGTGTACGCTGAACACCGCACGCCCGCACACATCGGTGCACAAATCACGGCACGCACGCACGACGTGGCACAATCACGCACGTGTACGCTACAGACGCACGCACGCACATGTACGTTGACACGCACGCCACCAAGCACGCACGCATCGTGTACGTTACACACGCACGCACGCCCGTGTACGTACACACGCACGTGTACGTATTGCACACGCACGCAGTTGTACGGTGCACACGCACGTACGTGCTACGTGCACACAAACGGCATCACGTTCACAATGCCACGCACGCACGCACGCACGTGTACGTGCACACGCACGCACGCGGCGCACGGGGGTGTAGTGTACAATACTCACGCACGCACGCACTGCTACGTGCACCACGCACGCCACGCACGCACGTGTATGTGCGCACTACACACGCACGCACACGTGCACCATGCACGCACGCACGTCATACGTGCACACGCCGCACGCACCACGTGTACGTTACACACGCACGTTTACCGGGTGCCACCACGCACGCACCGACGCCCGTGCTACGTTACACACGCACGGCACACACGTTGTAGGCGTAACACGCACGCACGCACTGCACGTGTGCGCTTCCGACACGCACGCCCACACACGCACGTGCTACTGTGCACACGCCACACGTACGTGTTACCTGCTGCACATACGGCAAAACCATGCTACGTGCACACACTGCACGTGTACGTGCACCACACACGCACGCCACACGTGCACATGCCACGCCGCCCCGCACGCACGGTGTACGCTGCACACGCACGCACATGTCGTACACACGCCTACGCAGCACGTGTACGTGTCGCCTGCTTTCATGATGTTGAACGCCAATCATACAAAACGAAATGTGGCACTATCACATCAACCCTACACTCATGTAGACAGCAGCTAGACGAGCCATATGTTTAATAGACGAGAGCCCATCCAGTTTAGTTCCTACGGTATGTGACCCGCACAGTGCTGAATTTGCGTTGATGCTAGGCCACGACCCTTCAAACAGCGCAGCACCCACGATGGCGTATGGATTTACACTGGAATTCATTCAACATGTTGCGTACGCAGGTGCTACTCTGCGTCTGATGAATCGCACCTCGAGCTTTCTGCGTAACGCTTACTTTCTCGTTAGCAAACTCTGTGTACGCAATACACTTTTACGCAACGGTTGTATGAAATCCGCGCCCCAGGTGCGGAGGGAGCGAGGGGAGGAACCCCTACGTGCCCGCGCACGACCACGTATAGCGGTTACCCCTCTGCTGCGTCAGGCAGGTACAACATTATTCCTAAACAGACCACTGAAGCCAACCTCCTAGCAAAACAACGTCCGTAACTGAATTTTTTGGTTGCAGTGTCAGCATGATACGCAAGCCCTACCTGGCTATGGCCTCGCGAAGCTATTTCCGTTTAGCATTACGCTTTTGTGACAGCTACCTTGTGAAGCAGCCGCTTAATTTACAGCGATAGGTATTCACAATCAAGACAAAAGCCCGCTAACCGCGATTTGACATCCGCCCAGCGCAGCTGGGTCAGTTCTGATCAAAAAACTGAAACCACGGTTTCAAAAATGTTAGTTTCTGCATGCAGCAGAGGTCTTCTCATTGCAACTGTCGTTTAGCTGCACAGTGCCGGCCTTGATTGGAAAAATTTGCTGCTGCGAGCTGCCAGTTAATAAAACCATAAACACTGAGGGTTGTCAAAATATCATGACAATACATCAGTGTTGAGTTCTTCATTTTGCTTTATGCAGGGGCGTGTACAGCGCAGTGGGGGGGCGTCCAGGCTGTCCCGACCCCCCCCCCTGCTAATTGCAGAAACGCTTCTAAGGGTCTATTTTAAATATTTAATCGTTCTAGGGTGACGGGCCCCCCACACCCACCCTTCGCGTGCCTCGCAAGTTTGGATTATGGTTAGACCACCCCCCCTGGTAATAAATCCTGAACACGCCCCTGTTATGGGTAGTCAAAGCGGGGTACCAGGAATAGCCATAAACAAATGTTACGAGGGCGTACAGGGCGAGTCCCAACAAGCGTTGGAACCACCTGCTTTAGCCATGAATGGCGCCGTTCATGACTAAGAGGTATGAGACATATTATAATCAAGAAAACAACGCCTCGCCACCCCCTTTTCCAGCATGAAAACAGATACGATTTAGAGACGAAACTAAAGTCTTGCCACAGGTTCATCACCGCGGGCTTCAAACCCCTGCGATGACAAACCTCCAAAACCTATGCACGGACCTGCCCTATATCGGCCCAAGCCATCTTCAGTCAAGCCAACATAAGTGGGCCAGCGGGATACGTAAGAGCTTCGCTCCACCATTTGCCCGCCACATGTCACACATTGCTACAAATGAATTGCTGCGTCCTTGCTTCCAGTTCAGCGCCCTTATATCCATGACACCGTAAGCTTCACTACACACAGTCCACATGATATCCTCCAACAGAGCCACCTGCACATGCCTACTGCCTTATGCCTCAAATCGCCTCCAGACAAGGTATCGGTCGATGCAGCTAGGCATGTATGCAGAAATGGCGGATTACATTGAAGATGGCCCAATCGAATGTGTGACTGCAGAGAGGACCAGCCTATGGAACATCTCCTGGAATGCCCCCCATTACCAGAGAGCCCTGTGGCGAGCCCGGCCGGATGGAGATAGCTGCCAATGAGGCTTTCAACACCGTACCAAGGTCGAGTACTGGTGCCGCAGTGGCTAGGTCTGAGGCGCTAGTGTAGTGACCCGCAGAAGAAGATGATTAATGAGTCAGCTACTGGCTATTGCCCTGGAACTGCTCCACATCCACAAGTCCACGGGTGTATATATATATAGTCTACTCCACTCTCTCCAGTGCCCTCCTCAATATGTTCATTTTCATGCAAGAGCTCTATGATAGTCTATCTGTATATATATCTGCCGAGTTTCCTCTACAACCGGATTATATTTTAAGGATATTTCGAAATGTCCGTGTAAAATTCATAAAATAGTACGTTGTCGTGTAAAATTCATAAAATATACGTTGTCGTTGATGATCGCAGATCGATGATGATCATCATAATTATGTATAGGCCGGTTCAAGGATAGAGAACATGGGTCCCAATAAAACCAATGTCATTTACACCAATAATGGCAATATAAATATAATAATTAATATTAATTATTATATCAATATAATACTAATCACAGGTTAGGGTTATGGTTATAGGGTATAGCAGGGGTCTCTCCTACGTTGCGCAAACGGGCGCGGCTGTGCGCCACCGTTTGGGAAAAACTCCCCCTGTTTGAATCGTTGGCGCCGCGCGTTACGACCTCCGCCCCCGTTTTAAATTCCACCACAAGTAAAAGTTTGCCAGCGACTGGGAAATGTCCCGGCTCCCCGTCAGATTTCTTGTCGTTTTTTCGACCAGGACACCGGCAGCGCTGTATTTTTACCGTGCAACGCATGCCCTGTCCAGACAATACACAACGTACAACACGCCTGCCAACGCTGTCCCACACCGAACGGACTAACTATACACCGATCTTGGCATCTCTATATATACAAGAACCCCAAATACTGCTATGGTGTGCGGTGAAACGGATTTGACGCCATATAATTAGTTTGGTACGGTAAAATAAAACATGCCCCCGGACCCCCCGCGGTCCCCCCCCCTCCCTCCCTCCCCTGTCTTGGAATTCATCTTGGGGAACCCTGGCCGTAGGGTTAGGCGTTTAGAAATTAGGTTAGCCCGAGTTAGGCACATTGGTTTATTGGCGCACCGCATATGCTTCTCTATCCTTGGCCGGGGGTAATAACGGTTATAGCCTATAGGGGGACCCTTTTGGTATATAATTATTACGCCCAGTGGGTGGAGGTACGCGCAGCCGTCGGTCGTTTCAAGCCCCTTTTTTCGCCTCGTTAGGGGTTAGTTAGCGGTTAGGCATTAGCGTCAGGGTTCTAGGTTTAGGGGTTATGGTTAGGGTTAGGTTTGAGGGCGTTGTACGGGTTAGGGTTCTTGCCCATCTCTAATACTCTCAAATCGTGAAATTTTCATTTTCCCAAAGCCCGTTATTGCTATCTGGCGCCCACGCGCCACTCCTTCGTTCGTTAAGCTATAAAGCAACTGCGTCGCGCGCACTGGCCGTTACCCGTAGCCTCCGAGACATTAAGATCACCGCGTGGCCGTACCCCGTAGCCACTGCCTCAATTATTAGGCCAGCTGGCCTACACGGCGCTACGCAGCCGTCATCTTAATGTCTCGATCGCGCTAGCGGCGTACGCCGTCCATTCGCTTTCATACTTACACGCAGCACAAAGATGGCGTGTGCGAGTGGCGCTTGATTTCGAAGAAGTAACCGCCCTTGGCCCGAAATAAATTCTCACGAATTTGAGGTGTAGATTTTTGCTAGCCTCCAAGCAAACCCTACCCTAACCCTAACCACTAACCTAACCTAACTCACTAGATCCTAACCCTAACCCTAACTGCAACAAACAGAGCGCTTTGAGACGACGGAGCGGCTGGCCCCGTTTACGTTACCTCCCATCCAGCCACTGCGAATTATTAATTAATCACTCACCGTTCGTCTGAGATAGTCATGTTCGTGTTGTGAATAAGATCTTATAAGAGCAAAGTGGTTACCGATGAATTTTACTGCTAGTTTCTTCCGTGAGATATGCGTAGAGAGTTTCAATATTGAAGCAGCGTGAAAAATACCCATGCTGAACTAGGAAGAAACTGCTCCCACTGCACTGGGTATATAATAGAATCGAAATCTGCGCTCTCTTCTTGCCTCTATGCGCTATCATGCCCTCTGTAGATCTTGCTGTCATCCGACTGCCGGTGTTTGCATATTTTCGTTCCGCCGTTCGTCTTTCCGCCATCTGCAGGATGTTTATTAACTAATATGTCTCGCTTTTTGATACGTAGCCATAACATGGCCTGCACGATAACAAAATTACCAATTTCCCAGAAATAAACACTCGAATAAAATAAACGATTCGTCTATAATATAATCGTATTAGTAATATATGACAGGTTTCCCCTCATGTTATGTGTGACGTCATGACTGAAAACATGGATGGCGTTTGAATGAGTTGTAATTTGCTAAAATCACTACGTATTTAACAATTTTCACTGTTATTTGTTACAGATAAACGCTGTTATGAAGTTGTCGTATTTTAAAGATTATGTCTTTTAAATATATGTTGCTCATCTTCCGAGATAATTCCAGCATTCTGTCATAAACGCAAGTAAAAAACTTGTAAACAATATCAGAAATTTCAAAACAAAAAGCGAGGGCCAGGCAATTCACTGAGTATGCAACCCCCATGCCAAATGTGTTGGGAAATTAGAGAATTCATAATGTTTTTATTGACATTCATATCATTGCCATGAGATTGCTCTTAGAAAAGGCCATTCGCTATTGCCCTTTGACGTGATGTTTCTGATATGGTATTGCCCTATTGGTAGTATCTCGTCGTATAGATACAATAATGTAACCCAAACCCAAGAGGATAGGGTGCGATAGTGTAACCCAAACCCAAACCAAAGATAGGATACAATAGTGTAACCTAAACCCAACCCCCCTATCCTCTTAGCTGGGTTGTGCGTTACATTATGTGCTATCTTACTTCGTCGTTATAGCTGCGATTTAGGATACTGCTCCGGACCAACTTACTCGCATCAGTCGCGGCGAACGATGTATTTCCGCACGTGGAGGGGTGGTGGGTGGTGTTGGCTTGTGGACAAAAACATTGTTGTGTCAAGCTAACAAATTTAATAATAGCTAATTTGTTCAATCTTTTCATGACAAAACTAATATTACAATCTTTTTGATCGCTTAATTTGTTACTTGACAACAACAATGTTTTTGTCCACAACCAACCCACTCCGACCACCCCTCCACGTGCGGAAATACATAGTTCCCGCTGACTGGCGCTGCTGCAGCGCCGCCAGAAATGGCCGTTTGACATTCGCAAATCGAATGTTTATTCACAAGAAATACCGCAAGTATACCATTGCAACGATAGTTCGAGGTTAAATTTTAGTAGCTGATATAACTTAAGACATATATTCACTTCGGATAAGAGGCATTAATTGCCAACCACAGACGTTTTATAGGCGGGTATAAGCGTGCTTAATTTGGTCCCGCGCATCCCTAATGGCTCGTTCTATAGCCCAGCGGCAGTTAATGTAAGCGGGCTATAGTACTAGAGCTAACCTCATCGTTGCCCTACTCAGTCTCATAATACTGCCTGGGAAACTGAGTGACACTGCCAGTGAGCTGAGATTCGATTAGTATTATATCTTCTATTTTAAATACTAAATAGTATTTGTATACATTTTTGTATTTCTTTGCAGACGTCAAATGCGTTACACATAACTTTTCATCGTAAGTGCCGACATGCCAGACTAGAAGTGCTGTTCACAGTAGTGGACTGCCAGCAACTTGGAATGGGATCTGCCTCGTCCAAATTTCGCAAGCACCTCCAGAATGGCGATGAATATGCAGCGATGCAGTTGTACAACAGCAGCCCAGAGCTGCGAAAGTCACTGGATCCCAACATGTCCTATGGCGATGCATACCACCAAAACACACCGTTGCACTACGTATCACAGCATGCTATGAAAAGCCTCTTACGGTAAATTATGTTATAAAGCTAGATTTCTGTAACAGATCTATAATTGAATTAAATTACTTCTATATATCGTGAAATTATGTGGAGTATTGTATGAATTGATCGGACTGTGATGCACATAGCCAAACACACACACACACACACACACACACACACACACACACACACACACACACACACATCTTTTGTCACACTTCATTTTGGAAAACATCATAAGTTCTATCCTACTTCTTTGTAATGTTAAATTATACATTTCTAGATAGTTGTTAATTTACCCAGTACAGGGTTAGAAATCGGCTTTTTGCCAAACCGCAATTACTCACTACCAAAGAAAAGGGCAGGCAGCAATTGTACTTATCTAGGCTGAATATTTGGTGGTTTTATTATAGTGTATTCACAATTTCTTGGCAGCAAGTAGTTGCTGCCGACATTGAGAGCAGGTAGCGAACTGACCCTGGTAGGCAGCAAAACTGCTGCTTGCTGCCCTTTACTTTGAACCTGCAGAATCACTTTCAATAAGTATTCTTACAAGTTACATTCATCATATTTCATTGGACTCCTTGCTATATTGAATACTACAGTAGCGTACCAGTCTTCGAAGTTAGCCGGGCGTCTGATGCCCAAGACGTGTAGAAATTTTGACGACTGGCATGTAAATATTGCAAGCTGACTTGCCTGACGGGCTCCTGCTTTTAAAAACGCATAAACTATAATACAGCTGGCTATATACCAAAGGTTTTTAATTTAAAATCACCAAATGTTAACGCCAGAAACGAATGGCATTTAGAAGTTGTCTGGTGTAAATTTCTTTACTCGATATTCAAAACATATTCTTGCAAAATGTATGGGCAAGTAGAATGTCATTCAGTCATATACACTTTACAGAAACTGAGAATGCTCGAAAATGGTTTTCGTGAAGACTGGCGTACTAGTATGTAACTTGCATTGTTATGGTCTTCCTTTCTAGGATTTTCATGCTGGAGCTTAGTGGAAATCCAAATAAGAAGAACATTCACAATCAGACAGCGCTGCATTGTGTGTGCTCCTGCCCAACGGGAAAGCTACACGGCCCATCACGGGCCAGGCGCGCTGACTGCCTCACTCTCATCATACATTGGCGAGGCCCTCAGCTCGAGAATGGGGAACTTGAGAGAGTAAAGCCTGACATGGTAGATGATGTACGTGGCTTGAATGATCTGTGTTATGTCAGCTAACATTTTATCTTGAAAGTTTGCCATTTTTTGTATGCATTTGCCTAGATTCAGTCCATATGCTGTGCTCCATGCTTTGATGCATTGGGTCTCACAGTTAATGTCATTGCTGTCATGCTTTCCAGTCAGAAATGTTTTTCAAGCAAACTGCCAATCATACTTTAGCCAGAAATTTGCATTTATCAGCGTATATTTAGCAGGTGGCAGTGTAGAATGCTCAAAGTATCACTAACGAGATGTGTTTATTGATGTGCCTGATGTAAGTAGGATCTAGTTAGGGTCATACTTGGTAGTTGTGACTGGTTCAGTTTAAAATTAACATCTAATGAACCATTTAAAAATCTGATATATAACGGGTTATTGTGTGTTTAAGTGCTCTTGCCTACAGTGTAAATGAAATGGCATGAACTGTTAACATTTCAATATAGATGGCCTTTTATAACCTGTTTTTCTTTTTCAGAAATGCTCAACTGCAATGCATTATGGAGCAAAGAATGGTCTAAGGAGGTGCGTTGAGGTAAGTCCATTTTTGCCAGTACAGTTATAAGACTAGCATTTATAGCTGGCCCAATGATTGTCACCTAATTGCTAATTGTTCACTAGCTATTTGATAGAATATATGATAAATTTACAATGGATAATGCGCAGGGCATGAAATTAGCCATAACGTGAACAGGACCACCCAAAATTTTAAACGGGCACTTAGACAAATTGACCAAGTCCTTACAAGTTTGAATAGGCCCTTAATTTTGTTCAATTTATTTCATTATTTAAAATAAAAGTATTACTATTAGCTTTGTGTTTATTAGGCATACTCATAGTTCATTGCTATCAATGGAGTTCTATTTGTTTGACAGGAATTGCTGGAACATTTTTTACTTCTTAGTAGATACTAAGTAAAAACTAGTCAGGAAATTGGTAAATATTGTTGATATAAGATAGGGAAAATAGGGCAAGATAGGGAAAATTTTGAATAGGCCAAGTGGACTTATTATATGGGAGGTTGAACCGGTGGTTTAGGGGGTTGAACCGGTGGTTTAGGGGGTTGAACCGGTGGTTTAGGGGGTTGAACTGGCGGCTGCTGGCAAAATAGCGCTAATTTCGCGCACTGCATGCATATGATTTTGGAATTATTTTGTATATATGCATATACACATACATAGTATATCAAAAGTTTATGATATAATGATTTTGCCATCTCATCTTCAGCTTCTTGTGGCTGCGGGTGCATCGGTGTTTATTGAGAACAAGAACAAGGAGACACCATGTGACTGTGCAGAGAAGGCAGGATACAGCGAACTCGCTGTCTATCTTGAGTCGAAGATGGTCTTCTCTGTGAGTATAATCATTACGTGCAACATTTACGTGTGTGTGGAATCATCACTGAGGCATTACATCAGTGGCTCATAAATCCAAGGTCACTATGCCACCTTATGTCGGTATCAAATTGTCTCCAGTTACTATCTGAATTTTCTAATGTAGTCCAGTAATGTCGCAAACCGTGGGTCACAGAGCTAGCTCCATGATCAGAATTTAAGGTGCAGAAAAAAATGGGTAAGAATCACTGACAAATTGTGGTGCATGGTGAATGCTCCTAACCTGAGTCATCTGTGTAAATTATTTTCCATGGTACGCCGTTTATGCTAGGGAGTAAAAAGGTGAGTGATTTCAATATATCGAGGATATCAAGTTTTCATTGTTTTGCAGAATGATAGCAGCTGTGATGTGAATGAAGCAGACATAACCGTGATTGACACACAGGAGGTAACAAACGATTTTGGCCATTTTTTCGCCGTGCATTGGCGAATTTAGCATTTAAATGTTGTATTGGAATTGACCAAATTCAATTTAGTTTTGCTCAGTGTGTCAGTGTGCATGAGATAGGTCAGCATTCTGAGTAAATGGCCTGATTTCAAACCATTTCAAACTACTTAACCAACAGTTAGTTTAGGATTTTTGCTGTTAGGATTCTAAGTAAAAATGTCAATAATTCCAACATCTTGAATTAGCAATTCCAGCCTTCAATGAGTAGACTTCTGGAATTTTATTTGCAATTAAAATCAGACCTGGAATAAATTATGTAATAAACTCAAATGGTCCGATGCAAAGAAGGTGGAATTGATATTGGTAGACTGACATTGTTTGGTCATTTTTGTATTTTGTTGCCCAGCCATACAGTGGCCTGCGATCCCAGGACCTGCAGGAGGCAAAGGACCAGCTGCTTGTGGAGACATCAGACATGCTGCGCGTGCCGCTATTCACCGCTGAAGCCCTTCTACGCAACTATGGTGAATCCCTCGATCATCTCTGCTGAACTATGATGTTAAACTGACCTCAATTGCTTCTCTTACCTGCACTTGCCTCAAATCTGGCTTAAAGAACAGCATTCAGTTTTCAGATTTTAAAAGATACCTCTAGCTAAATATGGCACCAGTATTTGGTCAATAATCAGTAAAAAACACAGTGGTAGCTAGTAGCAAAATTGCATTCTGACCTTAAGCCAGCACTATGCCAATTCCTAGTCATCACCTAAATATTACTGTGGGCCGAAGTGGCATGTGAACAGTGCTCAGGCAAGTTCTTCACACTTGCAGTGTTTGGATTTAGACTGTATACATGTAAGTGGAAATGCATCTGCACTTGAGTACAACCTTGGTTGACAATCCCACCACTTTCACCACCTGCTTTCAGAGTGGTCACGGGAGACGCTGCTAGAGGCATGGATGGAGAATCCGATCGCTATCAGACCTGGAATAAATTATGTAATAAACTCAAATGGTCCGATGCAAAGAAGGTGGAATTGATATTGGTAGACTGACATTGTTTGGTCATTTTTGTATTTTGTTGCCCAGCCATACAGTGGCCTGCGATCCCAGGACCTGCAGGAGGCAAAGGACCAGCTGCTTGTGGAGACATCAGACATGCTGCGCGTGCCGCTATTCACCGCTGAAGCCCTTCTACGCAACTATGGTGAATCCCTCGATCATCTCTGCTGAACTATGATGTTAAACTGACCTCAATTGCTTCTCTTACCTGCACTTGCCTCAAATCTGGCTTAAAGAACAGCATTCAGTTTTCAGATTTTAAAAGATACCTCTAGCTAAATATGGCACCAGTATTTGGTCAATAATCAGTAAAAAACACAGTGGTAGCTAGTAGCAAAATTGCATTCTGACCTTAAGCCAGCACTATGCCAATTCCTAGTCATCACCTAAATATTACTGTGGGCCGAAGTGGCATGTGAATATTGCTCAGGTAAGTTCTTCACACTTGCAGTGTTTGGATTTAGACTGTATACATGTAAGTGGAAATGCATCTGCACTTGAGTACAACCTTGGTTGACAATCCCACCACTTTCACCACCTGCTTTCAGAGTGGTCACGGGAGACGCTGCTAGAGGCATGGATGGAGAATCCGATCGCCTGCTGTGAGAAGTGCGGTGTGCAGCCACCAGGTGGCTTAGTCGTTGAAGCCCAAAAAAGGCAAGAGCAGCAGCATGGCGCCGTGGCAAAAGTCACGACGCAGGACGACCACGAGCAACAGATGTCACCAGTAAGTTGTTGTTTAAAAAGATACATGACCATAGGTTTCTTACATATATTTTTAGTTAAAATATATTTGAATTCAGCTACAAAAAAAATTCATTGTTCAATATTCATTAGAAATATTTTTTTTTCTGTTTCAAAACTAACAGCTGTAGCGTTGCTTACAATGACGGTGGTGCCACTGCTAGCCCGTCTAATTTTGAAGTTGCACACCATAACTTTTCGGCTGCAGACTACAGACCGATGGTGTTTCTTTTTGATTAATTTAAGAGGTGAAGGATTGCAATATCTCATAAACAAATTTTAGATCCAGTTATAATATGGACGAATTTGTCCTAAAATAAGGCATCGTTCGGTTGATCAAACTCGCAGCTAAATGCATACATTGACCTACTGTGAGCTTGCATATGTTGCAAAAATTCACTACAACTCATTTGTATTTCTCCTTTCATAACATTTCTTCTCAAAATCTAAACGAAATTACTTCTCTTACGAATGTAGCACCACAGTGATGTTTACACATCCGGGACACAGCGGAACGATCTACTTGATTCAGTAACAGTTTCTTTCTATTGTAAAACAAGTTATAATTCATTATTCAATGTTTATTCAGTACTAAATTGTGAAATTTGTTTAAATCATATGTTATCTATATTACTTATGCAACCAGGAAACAAATATAGTGTTTTTGTTCTAGGAACTCTGCGCTATGGCGTATGGATACTATTTCGCGGTATCTGGCACTTCGTTCAAATATAACTTGCGTACACAGAAGTTTTCAAAATAGCCAACTTCGGAGCACATTTCTGGCTCAATGAGAACATTTTGTGATGTTTGCACACTGCAACTATGCTCACAGTAGGTCTATATAGGCCTTTTGTTGTGAGGTGTATCAATTTTAAATAGCAGTTAGGTGTAAATATAATTGCACGTTTGTGATTAGCCCTCGGTCTGTACTGTAACGTGCAAAATAAATCAGAAAAAACTTCATGAGGGTGGCAGCACAATCGCATGTCAGCGGCTCAAAATAAAGATTTCAAAACTCACTGTTGTTTTATGACAAATGTAAATGCATGATTATAGAAATTTGTAGGTATATACTATTATTTATGCACTTACTATCATGATATACCCTAAAATCCTAGGGTGTAGTATCCATTTAACATTTCCCTCGATAAACTATTCATTAGAACGTTGTAATTTTTTTATGAAGCCAGACACGTTGTAACAGTAGGTTATGATAGAGAGCCGAAATAATGAGGTCATGTCCCCATGCTATCATGCTGGCTGAGTCTAAACAGTGGGTGTGCTGTGCAGGGCTACCGCTGGCATTCGCCAACTTTGCAAAATGTGATAAGTAAACAGTGGCGATTGATTTAACCGTTCACAAAATTACGATTGAATAATGAAATCGTTAAATTACAGTGTCATATAAGTACTAACATATTCTGTAACCTATTCCTTTGGTGCAACCACTGTGTAACTGTGCATCAACCTAGTTTTGTGTAGACTAAACTACAATATTTCATTTTTACTTGATTACTTTATTAAAAAAGTTTCATACACTTCTTTTCCCATACCAATCACCTGTTCGTGCCTTGCTTAGCACATACGATAAAGTAAACAGTGGCTATAGTTTTTCATTAGTGGGAAAAAAATAACCTGGTGGCTCAAGTCTTGGCTCAAACTTTAAAACATCCAGAGGGAGCCCTGCTGTGTATGCTGTATTTTGTAATATATCTATTATGGAGTCATGGTACAATTCTAAATTTGATGATACACACATGGCACAATTTATCATAAGAATAGAAAATTCAAAGGCAAGGGCTGAAGTGGTGAGAATTATATGAAGGAATGAGAAAATGGAATATCATAAGACCAGGAAAGTTACTGTTTACCTTCAATTTTTGGAAAGATATAAAAACGACAATTATGAGGTATAGATGATAATTACAAACTGGAACAGTTCAAAACACCATTTTCATGCAGTAAAAGTATACAAGCCTGGGGATTGTTTAGACCCAGCTGTTTCGTTGTCGTGCCAATGTGACAATACATTTCGACTCATAGATACCTATGTATTTGACTTGTGGAATCGTTTATCACACTATAGGTAAAGTTGTCACTCATATTTCTAAGGTGTTAGAAACATGGTTCAGTTATCTGTGGTCATTAGAATGTCAATGGTCATTACTGAATTTTATGCTTTTGAATTATATGAATTTGTGTGTCTTTATGTTTAATTTTTACATCAGCTCTTTCCCTTCAAATTTTCTTTGAATGGCACAAACCAACTAAACGTGGTCTAAACGGGTGGTAAAGTCACCCGGCTAAAGTGCGTCGCATATATTTTGAGTATCTGTAATATAAAAAAAGACAAAACGTTTTGAAAAAAATCTGATTTGACTTTTCATGCACGAAATGCACAACAATGTGCCGTTTTAGTGCAGATTGCCAAAAAAACATTTTCCCCTTGTGCTGGGCCCCTATGTTTTGGCTGAGCCCCTAAAATGTCTACTTTAGGATTCCACCTGGCTACTACTTTTCACGGGAAAGTCTTCATCATAACGTTGGACATTTTACGATTTCCATTCCAGATCAGGGAAAGCAGTTCACAGAGTGACAAGCCAGAGTGCTCCTGGTCGGGCATGGGCATCGTTAACCAGGATGCGAAGATACGGGAAGCTGAGGAAGAGGAGGAGCATCCACTGAACACACCCACCAGGAAGACTGCCATTAGGCATGACACAGTGGTATGTGACAGCTCACTCACCGATGTCTGATAAACATTTGTGCTATGGAGTCCTCTGGTAACTGTACAAATAAAACTTGTCAGGCCAAATGAATCAACATTAGAAATATTATGAAACTTATCGACTGTTTTATTTAATTACTGTAATATATTTAAGCTTAATAAGACACATTTTATTTGGTCCCAGATTTTTCTATCTTATGTTATTGCCAAGAAATTGATTGCTTTCACCTACTTGCTCCTGTCATTAGCGTATCTTGTCGAGCCTAATGATGTTTAATCTGGTTTTATGTCATCCTGTATCTTAATATCTTGTGTCATTTCTTTCTTTTTTTCTGCTCCCATCTCTTCATAATCCTGAATTGTGTTTCTTCTGATAATATCTTATCTTGCCATGTTACATTTTACATCTTTTTAGTTTATCTATTATTGTACCATATCTTTTTCATCTTGGCTTATTTTCTTAATGTCGTGTTCAACTTGAAAAGGGCATTTTGCATGTATTCACATTATCGTTAGAACTTGCCAGTTTGATGATGTGAAAACTCTTATCAATTGTGATGTTGCTGTTTCAGTGTGACATATGTGCACTACCATTCCCTGTGTTCGAGCAGCCTGTGCCTGTTGCCTGTGACCACCACTTTTGCAGGGGATGTTGGGAGAGGTGAGGATTTATTAAATCGTTGCAGTATTATCATCGGTCTCTCAGTAGTCATTGACAATATCCAGCTGGCAAAAATATTTTGCAATAAGCAATTAGCTATGTATAACTGAGGAAAGTTAATTGGGAATGAGTCATTGCGAACATACTTGTCAATAATAATTCGTAATATCACAAATCTACATGCCATCTCACCATTTTCTTTCTTGTGCAGTTACTTGAAGATCAAGATTCAAGATGGAAATGTTCACAGCATCCTATGTCCAGCCTTTCAGTGTCAGAAGCTTGTACCAGTAGAGGTTATTGAACGATTGGTCCCCAGAGATGTTGCACTGAAATATTTGCAGTTTGACATACAGGTAACTAATTCATGGTAGTACATGTAATTTTTACAGTTAATTTCTTCCCTTGTGTGCAGGTAATTTAATGCCAGATGTACATGTAACCATTCCTTTGATGCAAGGATAATTTAAGTCCCTCACAGATATGTAGGTAGTTTAATAACTGATGTGTTATAATTTTAACACTAATTTATTTACTGACCATCACATGTATTTGAAAATACAGTATGTTAGTAATGTGAGTTCACTTTCATCTTCAGTTATGTCGTTATTCCGAATTGGTTGTCTCGTGTTATTACACAAACACACTGGAGAAACTTGGGGAGATTTGTACGCTTAATCAGCTGCTGCCATCTGTTGCTGGAAATTGCAGGCTTTTGTTGAGAGTAATCCAACGATAAAGTGGTGCCCCCATCCGGGCTGTGGGCGGGCCGTCAGGCTGCCAGAGAACGATGGATCAGGGTCACCTGCTACTGTGCAGCCTGGGGTGAAACCCCCTCCCACATCTCATGCAGTCGATTGTGGAGTTGGACATTTCTTCTGCTGGTGAGATTTTTGTATCCTTCGCTTAGTCATCTTCAGTCTTGCTGTCATCGTCGTCGTCCTATCAGTGTTCTCCTCTATCATCCTACTCTCTTCTATTACTCCACTTCTATATCTGTCATTTGTAATCATCCAGAGAGACCGGGTACAAGATGGCGTTGCGCAAAAGATGCATTGTTCCCCGACCGCCGAGAGCGGTTAAGCCGCGCACTTCCGCGGGACTGGGCGCACGCGACCGCGGGGTGTTGTATGTAGCATCTCGCGCTGCCCGCTATACGAATTCGCGCAGCGAAGGAGGGCGGGCGCGCGAATCCGTATAGCGGGAAGCGTAACATCGCGCAGTTTTTGTCAGACGTACACCGGCTTGACTACGGCAGCCTTGGGGAGAGGGCATTTGCTGCTGCTGCTGCTTTGCTTCTCCAGGGCCGCGCTGCAGCAGGGACCAGTATTTGGTGCTGCTGCTGGTTTGCTGCTGCAGGAGCGCGCTGCAGCAGGGGCCAGTATTGCTTGCTGCTGCTCCTACATGGGCCAGTATTTCTTGCTGCTGCTGCTTTGCTGCTGCATGGGTGCGCTGCAGCAGGGGCCAGTATGTGCATGTACTTAGGATTAGCTACGTGTAAAAACTGGCACGGCCACGCCAGCACGTGCTCGCATGACGTGCCATTGCCACGGGCAGCACAGGGTCAGGAGGTTGGTAAAAACGTGCCACGTACTCAGCCAAGCGCCGCGCGGTGGCGGTTTTGGAGAAAGCATCTTGACCGCGCCCGCCCACGTGGAGCGCCGTACGCGTCTTCGTTAAAACCTCTGTGATAGACATGACGCTATACTCGGCAGTAGCCCACGTCATCGTGTAGCGGCCAATGAGCGAGCGCGTGGTCGCTTATTGACAGCATTTCTTGGGGTTTCTTGTAGGAGCCACTACGTCTTACCCTTGAGGCGCGCCACCCCCAAAAATGTTTAGGGGCCATTTGGAGATGGCCTCTAGGCGTCGATCGCGAAATGTCGGTTGGATTTCGCGGAGTTCGTTTTCAGACCCCTGTCTAATTTATCTAAGTGGATAATAAGGGGGCGGCGAATTCGCTGTTGTGGTGCGGCTTTGCCGCGCGCAACTACCGGGGCCGCATGTCCGTCTAGCAATAAAAGTTTTCATTGGTATTGAATATGAGAAGCCACATGCAATCGACTTTTTAATCATTGTTGCTATCAGAAAATATGGCAGTTTATGTATCTCATAATTTTTTTGGAATCCAATTTGGTAATTTTTGTTATAACCTTTGTTTATCCTGGTAAGTCTGTATGTCTTTCCTAATTCTCTCCCAATCAATTTTTTTAGACTATGTTAAATCAGAAGCCATCTGAGCCCATGTATCTTACATAATTCGTTCATAATCACATTTTTAATTGTTAATACTGGAAGAAAAGAAAATCGGCATATATGTTGGAATTATCACACTTCAGTCTTGCCTGTGTTAATCATTGTTAATGGTATCTGACAGGGAGTGCCTGGGAGAGGCACACGAACCCTGCAGCTGTCAGGACTGGGTCGACTGGTTCCAGAAGATATCTGACGTGAAGCCAGAGTCACGTGAGTACTCAGTCATGCTTTTGCCAACTCTTAGAGCAGTATGCACCATCTTAGCGTACCTCTCACACACATGGGGTAGGTTAATACTGTTGTTATTCAATCTCGTGACTTAAACTAAAGATTTGGATCTTTTCAAAGCAAGTTTAGCAATGATGGGATTTGAGTATGATATTATTTGGGCAGTGTTATTTACTTTCAATTGATGCTGAATAGCATTGATGCTAGATCAGTTGTCTAATCGTGACAGAGAGACTAATAATGTAGTTGGTTGCTGTACAATTAATATTATTATTGCAATTATTGAAGTACCATGTATACCTTAAACACAATTATTGTAGTCATGTAATTGTATGTATTTACTGTAAGTACAATTATCATTGCATGTTTATATCACATACACAATTATTTTTGTCACATCATTCCATGTTTATAACTGCCTGAGGTGCCAGCATGGGGTAAAGGGCAGATTGAACAAATGGGCATGTGAAGGATGAACAGACTAATCGTGTAGTTTAACCTTAGTCAACTCCTTCAAAACGCCTCTGCTCTAGATACAGTTATATAACGGCTGCATTTTTAGCTCACCTTGACATCGTCAAGCTGAGCTATTGCCATGGGTCGTCGTCCATCGTACGTCCGTCCGTCTGTGCATCCGTCCGTCCATCCGACAACATTTCGCTTCGGTCAACGATAACTCAGGAACTGTTTTACCCACATGTTTGAAATTGGGTATAGTTGTTACTGCTATGCTCCCATATGGAACGTCCTATTTTGGAGCACGCCAGTCGACGTACTTTCGAGCCACGGCAATTTTTTGGCAAAAATGGGATTGCCATTAATCAGTTCAGGTTCAACAGATTTGTGCTCATTTTTGGTATGTGAATGAATAAGGGCTAGGGTTTTGATATGTTTTTGGGTTTTGATATATTTTGATAAATTATGAAATTAGGTAGGTTATGCAATTTATGCAAAAAACGCAGAAACAAACAGTCTGTGGTGTCACACTCGTCTGGTTCGTTTTACAAGATTTCATTGACAAATCTTTAATGCCAAAATTGTATTTCCTCTCCACCCTGCGATAAAATGTCTATATTAGAGTAAGTTTACAAACATGGTCGGAACGCAGCATAACCTATTTATTCGAATGCCAGTCGAGCTACAAAGCTGGGTTTAGCGGCCACTATGACTGTCAAAATTGTGATTCATTTTGGTTTATAAATTATTATTGCGATATACAGATGGCAACCGTGTGCTACCGCCTAGAAAAACTCATACGAAGTAAATACTTCCATGCAACCAATTAACCTTTGACAAAAGTTGTGTTATGGGCAGGGAAACACCATTGTCACGTGGTACATAGCAGCTACGTGGAATAAGCGTATCCTCTCGATCTTACACGTTACACATCGGGAGCTCCGCTTTTAGGCGGTGCCTAAATCTGAATATTATAAAAACGTTATTTGTGGTGAGCTACAGTGTCATTGACACTTTCATTGTGTCTTTCTAGTGGGAGGTACAACTGAGGAGACGGAGCAGGCAGCTAACTGCCTGTGGCTGGTCACCAACTCAAAGTCTTGTCCCAACTGCAAGTCACCGATCCAGAAGAATGAAGGATGCAACCATATGAAGTGCTCCAAGGTATGTGCCCTTTGCACAGTGTTCATTTCCATTTCAATCTTGTTGTTAGGCATTTTTGTTGTGGAGGTGTGTTTTATTTTACTGCTTTCACCTTGGTAGTGGGTTTGTAAAGGAATTCTTCATTGGTGAATCAATGGCAGTACATAACAGACCTATGAGAGGCATTCTAAATAGCAGCCAACGTGTCTCCGCATTTAAAGGAGTTATTTCGTAAATAACTGGACAGTCGAGAGAAATATAGCGAAATATAGTTTCACCTAATAACGAACATGTTACTGATTACTCCAGTATAAAAATTACCACGAGTTTATGCTGTTATGGTATATAAAAAAAAAAAAAAATGCAGCCACATACTTTCGTATGACGACAATTTGCTTGAAATCGGCAACCACCAATGACCTGATAAATATACATCTCATTGAGTGACATAGTGGTTCTACACTGCTATAACATCTCTATTGCTTAATTCAAGTTACCATGTCAAAGTACAGGGATGGGCTCCCACGAGAAACGAGTGGCATCATAATGTAACACGATATAAATATACGAAAAAAATATTTCAATCAGTGTCTATTTTCGGGAAAATAACGATGTACGTGTGTTCCAATGCGTGTTGGCCTTACTTTAGACACTTGCTGTTATACGGACAATACCAATAAGTACTGTAGTGGTCGGAATAATAGTCAGGAAAACTGTTTGAAATCCTTGCTAATTGCTATATTGCTATATTTGAGGCATAATTGGCCAGTTGACAAGCATCAAAACAAGATTCACTTGAATTCCAGCAGAGTATTATTGTTCCTGTGGGGGGGGGGATATGCAGTTGCCTATACCCTAGCAGAGTATTATCATATTTTTGACTATATATGATATATGGGAACTACGTGACTATATATGCAGAGACCTGCAATCCATATGTGGACACTTGCATTCCTGTGGCCGGTTGGACAAAGCGTAATTAAGTCCTTAATCATGATTTACTTTTCATACTTAAATTGAAGTGACTGTTTCACGAAGCGTAATTAACTTTAATCATGATTAAGTTAATCACAATATTTAATTCTACTCAAGGAGCATGATTAAATCCACTAATCATGATTAGTTGCTAGTACTAGTAGTAGTATGTAGGTAGTACTAGTATATTAAGTAGGCTGCAGATTTTATAATTGGAAATTTTACTTCCATTTTTTCCCAATGAAATTTAAATTATCTAAGATTAGCTGTACTAATTTAGTCATTATAATTGCAAATTAATTCCTTTTTATGTCGGCTAATTATGTGATTATGTGTACTTAAATCGCTTCGTGAAACAGTATGATTAACTAATCATAATTACAGTAGGAGAAGTATGATTAGTGATTTAAAGGGACAGTAG